GGTGTAAATGTACTTCAATGGGGGAAAGATAGTCTTTTCAACAACTGCAAATAATTGAACCTCTATCTATACCTTGAACCATACTCAAAAATTAACTTAAAATGAATCATAGATATAAATTAAGCTAAACCTACACATTTCTAGAATATAACATAGAAGAAACTCTTTGTGATCTTGGGCTCAGAAAAAATTTCTTAGAAAAAATAAAAAATGCACAAATTATAAAAGAAAAAATGATAAATTAGACTTCATTAGAATTAAAAGCATTTACTCTTCTTAAAGTAACTATTTTTAAAGGTTTAAACAAGTCACAGACAGGGAGAAAATATTTGCAAAACAGAGTTGACATCGTATTTGTTCCTCCAATATATTTTAATAAACTTAGAACTCAACAGTAAGAAAACGATCAAATTTTCAAAAAGAGCAAAAGATTCGAAAAGACACTTTACCAAAGAAAAAAGCCAAATGACAGACAGGCAACACAAAACGATGCTCAACATCATTATTGACTGGGGAAATAGAAATTACAATAAAATTCCACTACACAAAGCTTAAAATAGCTCATGAGGATGTAGAGCGACTGGAAATCTCAGACATTGCCTATGGGAATGCAAAAAAAGTAGTCCCTTTGGAAAACAGTCTGGTAGTTTCTGCTTAAGTGAAACATACAAACAAATATATTTATGACCCGCTATGTATTTACCCAGATAAATGAAAATACAGGCCCGTACAAATATATATACATGAATGGTTATAGTGATTTTATTCATAACTGTTAAAAAGTGGACACAACACAAATGCCTGTTAACTAGTGAATGAATAAACAAAGTACTTCCATTCAGTGTAATACAATTTATCACTGAAGAGGAATTAACATGCAAAAATGCAGATACATCTTAAAATAGCGCTAGGAAAAGAAGTTTACACAAAAGACCACATACTGTGTGATTACAATTTTATGACATTTTAGTAAAGACAAATATATAATGACAGTAATGTCAGTAGCAGCCAGCCAGGTTGGGAAAGTGGATTGACCATAAACAGTCATGAAAATATTTTTCTGTTGACTGTGGTGGTGGTTACACACTTAGAATATTTGTCAAAACTCATAGAAAATGGTGCCTCCTCATGTAAGTTATACTTCAATAAACTTGACCTTTAAAAGAGTAGAGAATGATGCCTTGACTAAAGGAGATACTGACCTTGTAACTTGGGTGGAGTTTTCTAACTTTGAAATCTCAGTGTACCTATCACACTATTGAAAATAATCGTAGCGCATACAAAATGCTTGACATAGAGCCTCCTTCTGAGTAAGTGTTAGTTATCATAAAAAGGATGTGATGATCATATCCCACTTAGCAAGAGGAGTGAGGAGTGGTAATGAGGTAAGTTAAAGTGCACAAATGTTAACTCTTTTTTTACGATGAACAGGAAAAACCCATGTACTCAACACTTTTGAAGCTAAGTCTTATCTTGTCAAATAGATTCAAATAGAAGATTCTCACAGCTTACAGAAGGTAATTTAAAAAGTTTCATTGCCAACACAGGAAAAATATAAACTATAAATATATGTGTGTGTATCATATACAGTTTGTTAATTGAAGTGTGAATGCAGTAGAAAGAGGGTATGAGTAATAGGTGGCTTAAGCCAAATTTAGTTTAGTCATATCCTTGCTCTGCCAATATACCTCAAGTTTAAATGGTATCACTGAAGCTGTTTCAGACTTGAATTGCTCCAAAGCATTATTCTTGTGCCAACTGGGCTGAAATCTGGTGGTAGTTTACTTCTGCAGCCAGATAGGCAGTATCTTTTATGTTTTATTTATTTATAGTATCACTTAAGCCATGCATAACTTTATATGCACTTATAAAGCTAAACTCACAATTTGTGAAGCAAACTTATGATGGGATGTAAGCAGTTGACAATGTGAAACACATTATTGGATAAGAAAAGTTATTAGAGAGAGTGTAGTAAATTAAACATTCAGCCCCGCACAAGCTATTGGATTGCCACATGGAACAAGTAACGCTAGAGGTCTTAACCAATTTTTGTGACTTTTTCATGGACAAATTTATTTCAAATTTGACTCTGATTCCATAAATTTAGCTCCTCACTGCACCCAAGTAATGATGAGAAAATCCTCTTCTTTTCCTAGAATCTAATAACAGAAAACAAATGCTAGTTATCTGTCACCCATTCAAGAAGCAGATTCGTGGTAAAGACCCAGATTATCTAAGACCTCCAAAGCCATACGGATTTTTTGTTTGTTTTTCCATTACACCTTATGACCTTTCTTTAGAATACTTATCCTATTAAGGAGATGGATAGTATATGTTTACAGTGTGGCTATACGCATTTTTTAAATACTCAAGGATTTGAATTTTTAAATGGTAGATTTATAATTGGTATTTTTATTTACCATTTAACATTTAATGACAATGAATTATGAGCTCAAGTGCCTAGGAAATGTCTCCTCTTGTCCATAGATCATAAACAACTTGACTTAAGGGATAAGTAATGGTTAGTTTGAAATCTTCCGTTAAGAATAACTGCTCACTGAAAATCAATAAAAAAATGAACTCACATAGTTTTGTGATTCTGATGCAATCTAACAGAAGTTATTCAAGCTATTATAAAATAAGCCATCAATTAATATTATGAGTAGTTGTATTTATGAAAGCAACATAACCACAGTACAGAGGAAATAGTTGCCATAATTTCATTCCCCTAAGACAACTATTGTCGTTTTATAGCCTTTTAAATGTGAATGCAACTTTTGCAGTGTAGTCTTTTACAAAGTAAAACAGACCTGAATTTCTATAAAGCTCCACCAACTATGACCTAATGGCCCCTAACTTTTGACCAGTGAGCTAAGAATGATTTTTATGATGTTAAATACTGAAAATTGAAAACAGAATAATATTTCATGCCATGTGAAAATAATATGAAATTTAAATTTCAGTGTTATAATTTTTTGAAATACAGGCATGCTGATCTATTTATGTATTGTCTGTGGCTGTTTTTGTGCTACATGGGGCTGAAACTAGGCTAAGGCAATTTAGGTACTCACCTCAGGCACAGAACCTAAGGGTGGGGAGGGGTGCAAAAAGTTCAGTCATGAAGATAAATCATATCTAATGCAATATGTTAAAAATTAAAATTAATTCAAAAGAAGTTATAAGCAAAATATCTAAATATTATTAAAGATGGCGTAAGTTCTACAACAACAGAACTGAGCAGTTGTGACCAAGACTGTATCACCTGCAAACCTAAAATATTAACTATATTTAGATTATTTGCTAACTCTTACTCTACAACATTTAGGCCTTAGAGTTATTTTCATATTTCCTCTTAACAGTTTCTACTTTAGAATATAATGTAGATTAGTAAAGTTTTGTTTGACAAAGATATTCCTTGCCAAAGACTCTGTCAATCAGAAAAGAAAAAATAAAATAAAATATCTGTGGACAATAATATGGCAAGCATAAACTCTTTTTTATTCTTACTGTGGTTTTCTTAAAAGAAGGAGGAGAAAAAGGAGGAGTAGGAGTGGAGAAGAAGGAAGTCTTAGGCTGCATGACCCGGAAGATATTCTGTGGAAAGGGTTGATTTTATCTAATATGATACCAAATAAGATACAAGTGTGGGAGGCCATAGAGGCTTATAAAGACCATCACTCACCCGTATTTACCGAACAATGGTTGTTCTAAAAAAATTACTTTTCCTTTAATGTTCTGTATTGAGTATTCTCCACCATAATCGCACTCTGAATAAGTTAAAGATGTGAGGCACCAAACCTTAGATATTATCTAAACTCTTAACAACAGAGGAATAGACTCTGCCAAGCCTCAGGCTACACTTATCAATTATTTTTCAAAAACTAGTTACCTAATGACAGTTGCTTGGACATTAAACCTAATGCTAACTATTGGAGATACTTCATACTCTGTCATATGCTTAAATATCAGAGGGAATATTCTAAAAACCTGATTTCTAAAGACTACTTTAGTAATTCTTACTTGTTTCTCTGAACTCTAATTTTTTCACACATCAGTTTTTATAAATAATTTGCTTCTTACTGCCATTAAGAAGTGGTAAGCTGACAGTTTCTCATATTTGCTCAAAGAAATCTTTGACACTAGTTTGTCAGAAGTCTTTTATTACTGTTGAGAAACTTGAGAAAAATATTTCCTGGAAAACACACTCAGGATTCCCTGTCCCTTGGGAGTCATTCTGCTTTAGGAAGATTCTGTTCTGTAACAAGGATTCATGTGCTTGTTACCAATGCAAAGTTATGTTTTACCTGCTTTTCTAAAAACAGGAAGATTGCATAATGTTTTATTTTTATTTTTTTCCTAAAATGCAAGTGGTAATTAAGCACGATATTTTAAAATCGTATTCTAGTTTTGTAAACAAAAATGTTTAATTCTACAGATTTGCAACAAATTAAAGAATGAAAATTTTTGTATTGTCATCGTATTACTACATATAACTGACATTTAGCTGGACGCAGTGGCATGCACCTGTAGTCCCAGCTACTTGGGAGGCTGAGGCAGGAGGATCACTTGAGCCCAAATTCAAGACTGTATCACACTACACTCGTGCCTGTAACTAGCCACTGCACTCCATCCTGGGCAACATAGTGAGATCCTGTCTCTAAAATAAAGTGACGTTTTATTTTTGCAACTGTGGTAAACGCTGAAGGACTTTACACATATTTGTGATTTTAAATTGTTTATTTACCTATCAGAGGTTCAGAGTGGCAAGCTTTATAAACATTCTAAATTACATACTGATCAATCAACTCAATTACGTAGTATGGTTAGAGCATCTAGTATCTTATAAAACTTTTACCTTTGAGGTCTGTCACCAGCAATTCCACCTTTACTAAAATAAAATATTTAAAGAATTCTAGAATTTAAATATTATGAAAAATTGATATTATGTCAAATTTAACATTGCAAAATTACTCAAAGGCATAATATGTACCTGAAGAAATGCATGGCATCTTTGCTATGTAGAGTGGTTATTAAGTGCTCAGTGGTTGGCTCAGCATTTTTCTGTGTGTATGCAGTGAATTGCATAGAGTTCTTTTTTGATAAATATTTGCTGAATAAATAAACTTAGTAGATTGAACAAACACTGATAAAGTCATGTTAACACAGGCTATCAATGTGAACCTTGACAAAGCCTCATTAAGCATTTTAAACCAGTCTTCATTAAAACCTGAGTCTATATTAGAAATGTGTATACAGATAAATAGATAATTAGGTATATAAAGTACATAATAACTCTGTAAGTAAATTTAGGTTCATGCATAAAAGAATCAGAAAGTTTATTTAAGGCTTTATGTCTAACAGGAAATATAGCAATCTCTATCTTTTCCATTTTGATGATAATTTGGATTCGGAGTAACATTTCAAGTGAAATTTCTTAAGGCACATTAAATATCCATTGTATTCAGGGCTATCACTCTGAGCGGATGCTGGTGGAATGTTGGCTCATTCTGTAATATCAGACTGTCGGATGGCTTTCATGTGTAATGTCTTCTCCCTATCATAACCTCTAGGTGGTCCCATAAGCAATTCTCCAAATCAAAGGACTGACAGACAATTAACATTTTGAAGTAGTTACTAAAGAAAGAACAGCATTAGAAACTTTGAGAATTTTAAATAGATTTTAAATCTACTTATACCATTAGGTATACTTTCTCTCAGGTCAGAAACGTGAAAAACACCTGGAAATACCTGAAGAGTTTGTTTCAAAGAATACAAATGGTATGTTGCACGGAAGCACTCGAAGTGCTAAATAACAAAAACGAAACACTCATCTGCGCATCAAGAGATGTGTGTTTTCTTCTCAGCGGAGCTAATGACTGGTTGTGTGATCCTGGACAAGTCACTGACTTTGTCTTGGCCCTTCAGTTTTTCACCTGTTAAATGAGAGAAGTCACAGATGCATTTGATTATTGTAAACTCTGAGAGTTTAAGCCCTAATGGATTCTACAGAAAGTAGAATCAAGTCAGGGGAGTATGAAGAAGGCACCTGAGTTCTGTTTGCAAGGGAAGAAGTTGGCCATCAAAAGTTGGAGTGCAAGAAAGGTAGAGGGTCAATATGCCACACATTGCTTCATGCTCCGAGGAATCTCCCTTCTACTGCATAACTTGCTAGCTCAGTTCTTTTGGTTTTTCTGATTCTTATCCACAGGACACTGCAATCACTTGCTGGATGGTGTGTATGTGCTCAGAGTAATCATTTTACATCCAGCGACTTAGAGTGTGGTCCTAGGAAGTGGCAGCATTTCAGCTGCAGAAAGGAAGAGGATCAGTCTGAGCATTCTTGAAGAAGATTGCAAAACTGCTTTTAGTTCATGTAGTGTATTTCTAGTCCAAGATTTCTTTTAATGGGCAAAAAGAGATTTTTAAAAGAAGGAGAAACTTGGATGTTTCCTAAAGCAACATTCAAAGCAATTAAATGGAGCTTTTTAAGCAACATGATCTTTTTCACTCTCACAATCTCCTCTTTAGCCTTAAGTAAAAACCAAAAGAGATCTTTGAAAAATGATGATTTTTTATATTTAATATATGATCTTTTCATGCTTCTGCTGTTGTATGCTTTTGAGCTGTCTAACAACTATAGCTATGTAGCCAGCAGAAGGGCAGACTTGTCTTATATCCTGTGAAGAGGTGACTACCTGAAGTGTGAGAATGAAAGAAAAAATAAGAATTCTATGAAAGGTTTTACTACAGAGAATATAGGGCCAAGACCTTCATCTAACCCTGGATACACATTATTCTTAATAATGCATACCGGTATCCTTTTTTTTTTTTTTTTTGGCCAACTTTAAGTCATGAGCTTACAAAAACTGACAATATTTTACAGAAACAGATTTTTTTTTTAAAAAGCATAATTTTATTTCCTGTATCTTTCACAGTTCTTTAATTTGAAACATATCACTTTTATCTCATCTTGCTTTAACACCAGATTTGGTTTAATTAAATTTATGTCAAATGAACACATGAAACGAAAGGAAAATCGGAAAGCCTGCAGTTGCCCATTAGTGAGTCAGTGACTGCAGTGAAAGGCTTTTGAAGCCTGGCTTACTGCCAGGACAAGCTTGCAATGATGCTCGGAGACACCCATGATGCTTTGAAGGAAAGGACTTAGCTGACCTGAGCCTGCTCAATGGAATCAGTCAAAATCCTCATGGGCTGGATATAAAATCTGTAAGTCTTCTGTCTTCAACCATTTACCTGTCAAAGACAATGAGTAGGGGGCGTGAAGCCACAATTCACATAGAAAATTAATTGTACTAGGGCCATTTCTTCTTATTATGATTACAGCATTATTGATTATGTGGGTGATTTTGTTTGTTTTGAAAGCTACATGCCAAGCCTTTGAAAGGCAGTGCCAAACTGTCAATCCTTGGAGCTACTCTATCAAAACAATGTTTAACTTTGGCTCTCTTCACTGAAATACCCGTCAATTAGTCAAATAATACATGCTATTAGTGAATATAAAAAGCATAACCTTCAGGAGCTAATATTTAGAGCTTTGCAAATTTGTCACTGTTAAAACACCTACGTTTAAAAATACATGAAGCCCTAAATGTTTTGACACTGCTGCTAAAATGCAAAGTAAAATCCCATGTCTCATACTGTTTCTGATACCACATGATCTTTGCGTCTTTGTACTTGAACACATTTATACATTCAGCTTCTGCACTTTCATATAAAAATATATCGAATGACTCCATGAATCAAATAATGATGTTTGTTCTGATTTTGTATTCAAACAACATGTTCTTAAAGGATACATATTATTTGGTTTCCTCTTTTTGCTTAGTGGGATCTGATCCACAGGTTCAGTTGTATTTTGTATTTTCATACTTTAGACATTAAAGGCTTTACACAAACTTTCAACACTAAAATAAATAACTCATTAGGGAGCAGCAGGGTGCGCTGATGTTAGTAAAACACGATATTTAAAAGTAAGCTTGGTTAGCATCTAGGAGTATCAAAGGGACTAGGGAAGGCAAGAGAGGGCTATCAGTAGCTATTTTTTCTTTGTCCTGCTTAAAAATAATTCAAAGAAAGGTCTAAATGTTCCAAAAGTCAAATGGATATTATTGGAGGTGCTTCAACAATCCATTCATACCAAACATCATCAATGTGCTTGTTCAATTTCTAATTTACTCAGTTCCGCTATTCTCCTACAGGCATACTGTTTTATATTTTCCACCTGTTCTATATGCTTTGCTTTTTTTCCCCATTATTTCATTTATAACTTAAAATAAAAGTAAAACAAACAAAAAGTAAAAACCCTCTAAGGGTTGCAATTTTTCCATGTGAAAAAGATTCCATTCATAGATCCAATGTGTCTTTCTATGTTCTAAGTGTCTGCACTGGAAAACCATATTAAGAATTTCCTTCGGTAGAACATAATTTTGAGAAGAGAAATGATTTCTGCCAACAGTTAAAGATGAGACATCATTTCTTGGCCAATAGAAAAGTCCTTAATTTTGTGGAATCGATGAAATATGTTCATCTGGATTCTGCCACTTGCCTCTAGTTAGATATTAGTAGTCTTTTCATTTTCACGAGATCAAATAAGATATGAAAATATTCAGTGTTTGCAAATTCCACAGGATATAGTACAATCCTAGTAATATAAGAAAAAAGATGGGTTTAATTTGCACTCACATTACCTCTGATGAGGTTGAAAATGTAAGTTTATATTTAAATAATTTACTCCTTAAAATCATTCTATCTTTGTTCTCAATATACATTTAACATGTAAAATATTTTATAACACCAACCACACTTCTTTAAATGTAAATACTTATAACTGAAAAGGAAGAACTGCATGTTTATGAAACAGGAATTATTATACTTTAATTCAAAATTCTCAGGGCCATATTTTTCTGTATAAAATTTTGTCAGTTCTTTCAAATATTTTGTCTTGTAAAGTATGAATTATATTATTTGTTACAAATTGCACATGATCATGATAACTGAGAATAATTTTTAAATGCTCTAAGAGGCTAATAATGAAAGTTTTAAGAAATTGATTATATTTGTCAACATGATATGCAATAGTCTTGCTTGCTTTTTATTGTGTTAAGATATTAGATATCTACTTTACTTTATTCTTGGAGACTTTTTCAAAGGATTAGAGGAGAAAATAAGCAACCACTCAAAACTATCCTAGAGACTGCGCAGAAATATTTATTTTATCTTGCAAAATATTTGCCAAGTAAGGTCTTTTCCAACCAGAATACATAATGACCACAGTATTCAGGCAAATTTTATCTTTTTTTTTCTTTTCTGATTTATTCTAGCAATTGTGTAGTAGAGCTTTTCCCCCTGGCACTAAGGACCTAGTCTCTTTATTTCACATTTTAAAACCAAATTGCCAGAAGTGTCTGAAAGACTGTACTTCAGGGAAAAAAAAAAAGAAGCACTTCAGGGCCAAGCTTTTGCTAACACACTGAGCATTAAGAGATGAATCAAGGGCGTAACAGAATGCTGAGAGCACCTTTGCACTGGAATCAAAGGCACATCACGAGGAGTCAACATTTTGCCTGAAGTTGCTCGCTCTGACTCTCCCATTGCCTGTAATAAAGTAGCTAAAAGGACATTTGGGACAATCCTGGGCTAAGCAGAGCTGTTTCAGATCCACCTAAAAAATCATAGCCAAAAGAAAAAGTGATTCTGAGAAACATCTCAATCCAATTCTTTATACCTGTCCATAGAGAAGAAAACGTATGGTGAGGCATGGCCACACTTACTGGGATTGAGGTTCAGTTAGTTGTTGCTGAACAGACTCCAATAACTAGCCACCAGTTTGAACTCTGCCATCATTTTGATTCAGTCAGTGTTAGTTTTGGAGTCTCTGTTTCACTAAGATGCAAATTCCCGAGTTGTATTTTCTGATTTCTTCAGGTACTCAAAGTGGAAATTTTGGGATGAAATGACAAGAGAGAAAGAACAAAGTAAGTCTTTTAAAAATGATCCATGAGGGTGTTTTTTTTACCCCATGTAGCTGTCAACAGTAAGAATATCCATCAGGAAGGGCTAGTTCAAAGTAGAGATTAATACAGAAGCCGTACGGTTCTGATTTTGCTAATGCCTCACGAAGTGTCTTCATATCACTGCCAAAGAAAAGAAAATTGCTCACAAATGCCATTTATTCATTTATACTTGTACAATGAAACAAACAGATCAATAAATGTATATAAAGCAGTTGAAGAGTTGAGAAACCAAACTTCATTGCACCAATTTTTTTGTTGTATAACTAACTGCATTCCTAATTTCAAACAGATGCTAAATTGCAAAGACAGTCCCATAATTTCAGGTACCTTTTCAACACAGAATTCTTTTTAAGAATTAAAAGTAGATAACTCATTTTCATATTATCCCCTAAATAAAATAAATGAATATATAAATATGTTTATTTTCTTAGGTTAAAATGGTGCCATTGAGAACAGATGGTTAGAGGTTAAAAAAACTGTTTCTAATATAATGTTAGAAATATGATTATTCCTCATATAAAATGCAAACTATTTAAATGGAACAAAGATCTTATTTATGTAATTCTAGCTTAAAACTCAAATGAAAGCATTTTTATTCAACTAGAAGATAATATTTTTTTCATAACTGCAGTCATCCACAGGAGAGCCCGTGTCACTTTCGTTTTTTAGAACAATAGCTTGTTTTGTCTGTTGTCAACATTGGCATGTAAAATGCTTGTAGTCATATTTTAGAAATCACACAGGGTTCGTCTTCAAGTTCCGTCATTACAAATCTCCTAATTCTAACAATATAATTACAAAATATTAAAATGTTCACAGCAAAGGGACATACAAGTTTGAAGGTTCCAGTCAAACTGATTATACAAAATGATAACACTAAGGTTGTCTCAACATAAAAGATGACAAGTCAAAAGTGGGGATAATGTGCATTTTCACTAACAAATAATAAAGATTCTGTGCATCAGGACAGCCATATTCTCATGATCAGAGCCATTACTGGAAGAAAGGGCTTTGATAAAGACCACTAATTTTGCACAGAGGCAAATTTGAAAGAAACAATAAGAGTGAATGTGCCCAATCCACCTCTAAAATATTAATTAGTACACCTCTGGAAAGATGAGCCCTTATGTTCCAGTTACAAAGACAGGGTTCATTCACGAACTTAGTTCAACATTCACCCTGCATAGCGATGGGGTGCAAAAAGGAAGGCAGCGATGAAGTCACTTACAGTTTGCAATTCAGCTGTCATGTGGAAGTCTGCAGTAGGTATGAGCAAAATATACTGTGAAGAATATGTGGCTCAATATTATACAGCAAAATCGAACTTTGCAACTGCTTATGCATAATTAACTTCCTGGGACTAGCCTGCTCTGGTGCACCACTTTATAGAGTAATAAAAATTTAAACTAAAAATACAGACTCCTAGGTAACTGTGGTCACAGTACAACTCTATCTTCCTTTGCAGGCTTATTATTTCCTGAAGCTGTGGCTGACAGGTTCTATGAGCACACATTTTTGCATATATTTTGTTTATGTGCAAGCCTTGGCATTTCAGCCATCTCCTGCTGAGGCCCCTTCCAACCATATGCTTCTGTTTTTCTTCATTAGGTGATGTGATTCCTTTTGACTGTTGCATGCACGTGAAAGGACAGTGGGCTTTGGGGGGAGAAGAAGCCCTGCTTTAAGAGAGTACACGTCAGTTGGCCTTCAGCTGTTTGGAGTTGATTAGATCTGACAAGTGCTGAAGCTACTCATCGTAATGGATGTCTCTGCTTTAGCAGAGAGGGGGTGAAAAGGATGTAATTCCCAGTGAAAGAAAGCAACATGAACTATTATTTAATTACTGCTTAATATATAACTCCCTAGGAGTCCCTGTTGATTTACAGTTCTAGCTTCTTCTTTTCTTTATTAATGGAACAATCTAGCCTTTCAATGCGATGTGGTTGAACCACACCTGTTATTGATAGGGACTTTCCCAAATGAACAAGGCAAATAATCCATTATAATACCCAAGCATGTATGATTCTGAAATGATTAATTTCTTTTCAAATATAGAAGTTACTGTTTTCACCCCATTAAAAAACAAAACAAAAAAACAAAAACCTTGCGCTAGTATTGCCCAGGCTTATTTCTTTCACTGGTTTAGGATATGGTGTGCATATTTCTGAATACTCTGAACACCAACCTTTTTAATTCTCTAGATTCTAGGAATCAATTAGGAGCCTCCACTCTCTCCTTCCCACTTCAGTTTTCCCACCAATAGGATGCCGAGTTAAGTAGACATAGCTTCGTATTGTTCTTTGATCACATGCAATTTCTGGATGCCCCGAAGCTGACTATTGTCAACAATCCACCTTCTACACAGAATTTGTTGTCCTACTGGGGAAATGCAACTTTAAAATCTGAAAGTAGTATTGCAAGTCTGTTATTCATTTCCAAATTACAGTACTTTTTGGATACAAGTTCTAAAGTATTGTTTTCATTCCTTTCTTTTACTGGGAAAACAGTCAAGGCAAAAGAGTGATTGGGTTTTGGGTCTGGGTTTGATTCTACTTACATAGTATATTAAAGTTGCATGCTCACTGAAAATATTTAAGCAGAAGGGTTCTGTCCACATATTAAATATATAGCAATAAGATTATTTAATTTTTTATTCTCTTCAATATATAATATGTAATAATTACATTGGTAATGTTTCTTCTATTTTCTTTTTTTGGCTACAGTTATATTTGCCTTACCCAATTTTGCTGAAGGATTATTCTTAACATATAGTATCTATAACATATAGTAGTTAATGACATTCATGCAAATTTTTCAACTAACATTTCACAAATAAACACATTAGCTTATATCATTTTTAAAGTATTTTGCTGTATCCACATGTAGGCTGATAAAACTTTGAAACTTGTGGCTTTCTTTTAAAGGTAGCCAATTCACTAATTTGGATATTATCAGAAAACAGTTCATATGATAATACTAGACTGTCTAATGTTTTTATACTCTACATTTTTGTTTTCCTGAGAAATTATCACATCCAGCTGACTTAAGTATATATAAAATAGAAGCAAATACCTCACAAATCACAACACCACAATTTTATTTTGAAAGTTTTCATTTAGGTTTTCCCAAGCTAAATCCTGACCTCTTCCACATATTTTAATGTTTTCCCTTGCAGTCATGTAGGGAAATACATTTTTTATCCGATGACTCTCATTAACGTAGATCTTTGATTTGTATGGAAGGAGGGTTTATTTTCCATTTGTGAGTATGGAGGCTGTTGCCTGTTTGCTTTGGAATATTTTATTACTTTGAAACAGAATGCAAGTGTATAATTTTGTGAATGATCTCTTTCTTTAGTTTACTTGTGTAAATATAGATCAAATATTGGTAATCTTGGAGAAGGAAGGGCTATTTACGTGGCAGTTTCTAAAATGAAATAGTAGCTATGCCAAATTGAACAATTTGAGCTTTTATGCCAATTAAACAGTTTGACTCCTGATATAAAACTTGATGGTTTGAAACCAAATGTTAAAAATAGGGAGCAGAATTCACCATATATTGTGAAGATAAAATTGTATTTTTAAGTTTGCAAAACAATTTTTTTTGTAACTAATATTATTTTGTCTAAATTTTCCCTGATAACATACGAATGGTTTCTTTCTTTTGTGGTCTCTTAAGAAAAAATAATTTAATTAAAAATTTAATTCTAGCATTTTGAATGTAAGGTCAATCAAGCTTCATATAATTCCCAATGTTTTTACATTCTTACTTTTTTCTCTGTTCTTTACAGTTTTGTTTTTTTTTTCCAGGGAGAAAGCAAAATAAATAAATAAGAAAAGTAACCATTTTATGTCTTATGTGACAAGAAGTCATCGTCATTCATAATGAGAAACTAGGGTATTTCATTCCGTAGTGCAGCATAGAGCAAAAACTGCTGATTAAATTCAAAGTGTAAACTCCCTCAGTAATTGAGCTATAACAAAAGAGTATTGAAAGAGTAGGTGGGTCTCTTCCCCCCAAGACAAGTATCTTACTGTTAATTAATCTGGTTGGGGGATTATGAGATAGAATAATTTACAATACTACATTTGCTATACAACAGATCATCTATTTTAAGGATTTTTTTCATGATTTATGGGATATTACAGGTTTAAAAGAGAATTGAATTTAAAAAAAGTTTCTATGTGGATAAATATAAAGCTACCTAAATCATACAACTTTGCTGATGCAGAAGAAATTTCAGTGCTTAGGTCTGGAGGTAAGAAATTTCCCTCAGATGATCAGAAACATTAATATCCCTTTTGCTTCTACTTTTTTTTTAAAATGAAAAACACACATACACACACACACATACACACAAACACACACACACACATACATACACACACACACACACACACACACACATATGCACACACACCCCAGGTTACCACAGCTGCATAACAGGCTCCTGTTGGCCCTAAGGACAAATTCCTGGGTAGTTTTAATGACTAAAAGAATTCTAATAAGAAATTATTACTTAAGGGCATCAAAATCCCTTATAAGGTAAAATATTTTAAAAAGTGTTTCTTGTCTCATACTCCCAGACAACAATAAAATAACCAACACGTAAAATTTTAGGGAAGCAGAAAACACTTAAACTAGATTTTGTGTCTAAAGAGAAAATTTTATCCACAGAGCTCATAACAGATTTTGAGTTGCTTTTACTCAAATCAGAAAAAACACTTGCCATTACTTTCATGTTTTCAAAGCAAGTTCAAACATGACTATTGCATAAACGATGTAAAGGTTTAACCTGAATCAAATATATAACACTTGTCTAATTACAAAGAATCTTCACGAAACTCATACAAAGTATCCTTCTATCATTTCTGCAAAGAGATCTGTAGATGAGAATTTTGTACCACACAGATATTCGATGAACATTTAAAAGAATAAAATGATCTTTTTCATACATGTATCAAATGGATTATTGGTAGCGGTTAAAATAAAATCTTAGGTCTCCTACTTTATATTCCTATTTGATAAGTATTTTAATTTTTATTAAAATAAATTCTTAGGTCTTCTAATTCCTATTTTAATTTGGTCTAATATCCAGAAAGAATACTGCTGCCCGGAAATTGGTCTAGCAGCAGCAGTTTTCTCCAGTAATACACATGAATTGGATATCCGGTAGAGGAATGGTGGTTAGTTTAAGAGGAGACACATCACCCCAAAATACAGGTACTACGCAAATTAACAATTCAAGTTCTATCTCCTTGTTTTTCAGA